CACCATGGGCCTTTAATGGGCTTAGAGTTACAAAGGGCCTCGTATGGGCTGAAAGACGTCATGGGCCATACATGGGCCAGAAGTTATAATGGGCTGGAATCATATTGACGGCCCACATGACGCTACTGGGCCCAATTTGGATAGGCCATAACAGGTCGTGAGTTAGCGGGGTGTAAATGGGCTATATGCGAACAGTCCATTATTACGCTTTCCGTGGGCCGGCCCGCTACCGTTTGACCAAGTCAAATGGCCGGCCTTTTCACCTAAAAGGGCCTCTGTTGGGCCATTCCAAATGTCGATGTATCATACGCGCCTCCTGTCCAATGAGTGGATGACATCTGTCCCAATGCTGAGCCGACACGTGGTTGCTTTGGCCATTGAGAATTTTACACATGGAAAATCCTCATTGGTCCGGGCTGTTAACGAGTTATCGGATCAAAACCATAACCCAATAGCTTAACGGTGACCCATTACGGTGAATTCCACATGTCGGTTACCTTTGACAAAAGCACTTCCATGACGCGCCATTTATCGTCATGGAAGTGGACACTTCTGTGATGATAATTTTGGTATTGTCATGGAACACTTCTACGACAGCACAGGTATGACTATCTTGATTTTGTCGTAAAATCTTCATGGATGTACATGCATGACAGAAAACCTGACCTACTGTGACAAACACGTATCATCACGGAAGTGTATTTTTTTGTGGTGCTAGTATGTTTCCTACTTGTCTTGTTTCCTAAGTAAGAAACTTCCTTTGGTGTGATGGCAGGCACTAGCGGCTTATACTTTTTGGCCATGACTCGGCACATCCGCCGACTCATATCTTGGGCTTTGAACTTGTGGTCATCTCAGCCCATCATCAAGCATGCCTTTGTTAATTCGCCAACAAATGACTCGGCCCTAAACGGGCTGGTCATACCGTGGGATTATATCCCCCAACAAGCTAGGAGCCGGCTAGGTCCTCGCAGACAAGGGTCGTCATGGCCTCCACCTCTGCCCTGTTGTCGGTGGACTGCGTCGCGGCCATGACCACTTCATTGAGAAGAATAGTACTACTGGCTTTTACATATTCCCTTCACAAAGAATGGCATCTGAATTCAGCACTTGTACAACCATTGCATTGTTTGTACATGTGAATCTCAATGGTAGTTATGATTGATAAGATGGGTCATCCATGGATGCAAAGGGTAGAGAGCTTCATACTTTTAGTTGCCGCTAGCTCTACTCTGCTATGTTATCTGGTTATGCCAATGCAGTCGTTGTATTGTTTATGACTGCGGTTGGAAATAGATAGATGAATGATTTCAAAACATGGATTAAGCTCGGTGGCAAGTTATGTTCTCAACTTTTAATCTCACAGCCTTCTTACTTCAGGGCGAACCTTACCAGCAAAAAGCATAATAGTGGCCTCTCTTTCAATGTCTGAAGATTGGTTATCTCATAACTGGTCGTCAGAGGGAAAAATTCAGCTCCATAACCTCCATGTAAATACCATCATCTCTATTCCCTCTTGCCCACTTCTATTACATATTTACATTTTGGTTTTGACATGTTCTAGAGAAGCTGCACCTTTTTGCGCTTGTGAGTAAATTGTTAGAAATCTAAACTCATGGGGAAATGAATTGTTTGATACAGTGCTTTGCTAGATCAATAGCAGAATATTTCTAAGTAGCTCATGTCATTAACTTTTTAATAAGGATGCAGGTGAGATATACTCCAAGGTATGGAGACGGGTATTTTTGGTAGAATAGGTAGTGGTAAATCAACTCTCATGCATGCCCTTTTCCATATCATGTGTCCTACTGTCGGTTAGATATAGCAGCCATCATCAACATTGGCGCCATTGGGCTGCACGATCTAAGATCTAGATTGACCATCATCAATGTTCGATTGAACTGTGAGAAACAACCTTGAACCTCTAGGAGAGTACACTAACAATCAAATCTAGGGGAGTAGTCTTGATATTCACATGCTCATTGCTTGTCATTTCTCAAATTACTAAACAATCACTTAAAAACCTGTTTGCCATGGCTCGCCATATGAATCTGTTACTTGTAATTGTTTTTTAGTTTGATATGTCTTCACATTCCTACAATCCTATGAACCTACATGTTCCCATTGATACTTTGTAAACCTTGTATTGGCTACAACGATTGTGTGCATTTCTCAAATATAGAGGCCCTCCGATCTTCTTAACTTATCTGAGAAGGACCAAAAATTGTTATTCTACATTTTAAGCATCAGGTCACTGTCAATTAGGAGTTGAAGTTTGGAGAAAGGGGCTAAATCATGACACGCCAGCTCTGCTTTACTCGTACCATGGAGTTCACATTCTGGTAGTTTTGGTGCTTCTGAAATTGTTGATAAATTTGACATTACCCTCGAAGTGGTATATAGTGGAGAGAATCGGTGTGTGGGCCAGTGTCAGCCCATCTATCTCAGTAGGGTGATTCTGAGACAAACCAAGATACTGGTCCTGCCACTGTTTCGATGGACATTGCAACAGATAACCTGATACCGAACACACCACAACAACATTACTCATGGGTGATTGGCATGACGATCGCGAATCGAATCACCTTGGTCCTTCAGAGCGAAATAGTCTAGCCTATTGACTATGGTGGGACAGTAACATTCTGGGGAACGATCTTCTGTACAGAAGGAGGAGGTCAAAAAAGACATTGCTTATTGTATATTAGATTTTGAAGGTGCGGGGACGTTAAGCTTTGTAGTACTCCTGATGTTTCATGAGTCTTCAGATTAAATTACTACATATATAGTAGCTTCATCAAACATTGGCAACGATACGTAGTCTCTCCAAGGTCTATATAGGTATGTTTATCTTGCTGTTTCAGGTTTGAATAATCATTTTAAGCCATTTAGATAACCTTCGCCATGTTGCTAGCAGGAGTAAGATGTGTGGGTTGGCTGAGGCGATGGCCGGTAGCAAAGCAAGGGTGTTGTGTTACAAGTTTTTCATCAAGAAATTTGCACAGGAATAGACATTTTTCTTTCAAGAATGACACTTAATATTTTTGAGTACTTTAAATATTGTTTTGCTCAAATAAAAGTATGTATTTTGCTACGTACAAAATTGTTTGAGTTGTAGATTATCTTTAGGTTTCTAACCACATATTTATTTATCTGTACCAGTTGCAATTGCACGAGCCATTTTGCTAGTAAGGCTAATGATTACTATCGGCCAACGAGCCAAAAAATTGGCCAATTGCCTCGTCACTTCGCGTGGAAAAATATGTGCTAGTGGCCCAAGCACCGCTTGCTGCATCCTTATCTCCTCCCGCTGCATCTCTCAACTACCCCAGTCTTCCTTCTCCCTGGGAACGGTTGCCACACCACGCCCTCACTGTCCAAGTTGACGTCCACGTGGCCATGCCTCTCCACTCTCTCTGCCCCACAGTCATCGACGCCCCCCTAGTGATAGCTGGGCCAGCGTGCGATGGCGGCTACGAGGCTGCAACCGTGGTTGGCGAGAGTTGCAACCGCGGACCGGCAAAGCTGCCACCGTGGGTATCCGGAGCTACGCCACCATTGACGGGGGGACGGGGTTTCTATGACCGCCTCCTGCTTGCTGCTGGGACAGCGACAAATGATGATGCAACTGACAACTGCGGGTACTGGATGTGGTGACCATGTGCTGGAACCAGCAGCATATTTTGCTGCTACCATGGTGACCATGTGCTGGAATTAGCAGTGTTTTTGCTGCGACCGTGATTACCGCAAGCTGAAACCATCGGTGTTTTCTGCTGCGACCGTGGTGACCACGAGCTGGAACCGTTGGCATTTTTTCCTACAACCGTGGTGACCGTGGGCTAGGAGCGGGCGGGGGGTGATTTTGCAATCGTGACGACCGCACGCTGGAACAAGGCGACACGAATGCTGGAACCATGCGGCAAAATGCTGGAACCAGAATCGACGACCTCTAATCGGCCAGTTTTTTTGCTGGAACTATCATTGTTCAGAGTTGCAAGCATTTTTCTTTTTGCTGCGTCTGGCGCGACCCGCCAGAGCTGCAACGGCCAAATCCTTTAGTGCTATGGTCGGTGAAGAATTTTTGCTGCGTCTAGTGTTTACTGGAGCACGACAGGGACAAGCCATGGTGTACGCTCGAAAACCACAGCGAACGTGCGCCATGAGTTCAATCGCGCGTGCTGTGACCGAGGCGACATGGGGCAACAAACTCGCCCGTAGTGTGGTCGTAGCACGGCAAGTGCAACAAAGTGCTACAAACCAGATTCTATGCTTAAACGGTGGCACACGTCGGGGCCTAAAAGTGCGGTGAGT